AATTTAGAGGGTTTTTTTGGAAGATAAAAGGGATTATAAAATAACTTCTGAAATAAAGAATCTGAGTGCTACTAAAAGGAACAGTGAGAACAAAATATAAATGATATTTAGGGCCAACAAGCAACTTTCAACTCCTATTAAGGTGATGTTTGAATAGGGTTTTTGATCATTATCTTGTTTTACAAGTACATTATATAGCTATAGCGAGTCTTAGCTGGCAGACAGACATCTTTTGTTTTCCTTTTCCTGAGCCATTTTTTCTCCATAAATTTGATATAAGTCTAAACATAAAAGGGTTTTCAAACTAGAATGCGCTTATGCAGATGATGATCTATTGTACATTAAGGAACTTCCCAATACTCCTGCCAATATCAGAAATGAAAGAACTGAAAAAATATGCCTAATATAATAATAAAAATGAGAGAACTTGTCGTCAGATTTGTTTAAGAGACTTTATTGACCTCCTTTTCTAATGATTTAGATGGAAGAATAGCAATGCAGCTATGTAAGGGTACGGATATCTTCTAATTTGGCCGACCTTTATGAGTGAATTACATTTGGTTCCTCAGACAATTTCAGCAACCAGATGGAATTTGCTGCCTCTCCTCAAGAGGGAGGATAAATGGAATAAAAAAAAGACTTTCTTTGAGTTCTGTTTCTCTTTCTAGCAGTCTCCCAATCTTCATCCTTAGTGATTCAAAATCAAAGACACTATACTCCATTTAAAAATCTCTCAAAATATTAAAGAATGATATAACCTGTAGATAAGTGTGGCAACAGTCTCTCTCCCCTGTCTAGCAAAATTATCTCTTTAAGGAAAGGTTTTGGATATCATACCAGAAAACTTTGGCATTTTCATTAACTGTGATGTGGCACTTTCACTGATGAGCATCATTCCAGAAGACTTACAATTCACAGCGCATAAAAATACTTCCTAACCAATCTTGTTCTATGCTAATATTAGCATTACGTGCAGATAGGAAGACCCGCTCCTCCCCAGGGAGCATGGACTGAGATACAATGTAACCAAAACTGAAAATCTAATTTATGAATGAAGAATGAATAAACATTTATATATACCTCCCTTGGGGCTTCCTTTAGGAATTATTTATATAGAAGTTATCTTTTGGTTAACATTAGAGGAAATGAATGCTTCTCTTTATTTCAAAAATTTGTTTTCAGCCGTGCAATAATTTACTCCTCCTTTTCTTTCTTATATATTATTTCACTTCATTCTGAGGAAAAAATAACTAATTCATGATAGTTGATTCCCGGTATTTCTATTATGCATAATTCATATGTTTGCCTGTTTATTATATTAAGTATGCAGTATATAAAAATGTAGAACAATCCATATATATATATATATATATAATCCCCCCCAAAAGGAAAAGATTGAGAAATAAAGCTTAGCCGTGATAAACTGACTTGACAAAAATCAATAGGTTGAATATGTAGCTTTTAAAGAACAGGTCTATTCACATCTGAATTATGTGAAAATAATTCTCTAAATGCCATACATTTGCAAGTATTGTATATCAATTAAAACCAACAGTCTGCCACAATACTTTAGCCTGTGTGATAACCGTGCTTTACAACAAGATCTTCACTGTAAATATGAATAGATCTTTCTGAAATTCCACACACCCACTTTATAAATGAGACCTGAATCCTGCAACCCCTCACCTATGCAGAACTCCTTGTAGAATTGGGGCCTTGAACAATACTCCAAGGCTTCTGTCAAGTGCTAAAGCCTCCTGTATTCTCCATGAAGCTGTAAGGCTTTGCAAATCAGAATAAGTAGAAAAAGTTGAATTTTTCTAGAACACTCTAATGCTAGTACTCCAAGTAAAGTACAGAACAAGGGTACAACCTCACATCCCTAAAGAGGATCAACATCCAGAGTGACATCTATCCTGGCTTTGCACAATCTCCAATGCTATTCTCACATTGGCTTCAACAGAACTACTGGACAAGACAACAGCAAACAGAGTCAACAGGAAGATATGGATAGAGCACAAAATTCACTATCACCCAGCTTTGTCCATAAAGACAGAAAATGAGGGGGAGGGAATGGGCCTAAGAAGTAAAAGAAAGTGATAGGCATGGAGAGGGTATTCTGAAGAGGTCGAGAGAGAGAGAAACCAGATCTAAACAACAAGGTGGAAGATCCTAAACCTGGATATACCCTGGTGAGGAGGCTGTGAAACAACATTCTTAAAAATGCTTAATGCACAATCTGTTCAATAATTCATTTAGGGACACTTAAAAGACAGCAGTGAAAAACTTGGTGGCTTCAGGTTGCATACTTCTGGCAATCCAATTCTTTTTTTAACCCTCTTTGAGTTCATGTGAGTTTAGAACCCCTGGACTGATTCTGCAACTGAATCTTTATTATGCAAACAGACCTATTGCAGAACAGATTATAGGGTTGAGACTCCTCAGTTTTAGATTCAAATGAAGGCCAAAATGCAAAGGTAAACACATTTGGAAACACCTCGTTAAATCTTATTTCATATTAAAATATTCAATCCACAAGTTTTACATAGCTTGAATACACAAATACAAATTGGTCCAGGTTTGTTTGAAAGCTTCATGAAACTTATTAAGGACTGTGTTCCGATGTCCTTGCTCACACCAAATACTAAATTACTTTAAGTACTCCCATTGAAGTCAATGGACAAGTGTGGAGTCAGGTGATGTTCAGTGTAAAGATATCAGAATCTGGCTCTGAACATTTTTTATCTTTATTTCTAGGTAATTTTTGAGAATCCCTCATCATAGTAGGCCAATTTTTCAAAAGTGACTAATATTCTGCATGACTCAATTTTTAAGGGTCCAACTTGAGACATTTTTTAAAGGGGACTGGTTTTCTGTTTTGCATACTCAGCACTTAATGAAAATCAATCTCTTTAAAAGGCTCTGAAGCTGAGCATCCAAATCACCCCACTTCTGAATATCTTGGCCTAGGAAATAAATACATAATAATTTATCTTTAGGGACTGAGCTTCCTCTCCCAACTCTATGATTTGGCCACTGTTATTTAGTTAGTTTCCTTTTTGGTTTTCTTTAAAGAAACCCCACTTCTCTTTTTTCCTTTCTCTTCCTCATTGTTAGTCCATCATTTATTTATTGGAGAAAGGTATATGTTAAAAAGTAAGTTTGAGGAATGTTGGAATCGGACTTGGACAGATATTTGCTGGTATGAAGTTCTAAGCACAAGATGAATATTAAATAATGTGGATTGAATATTGAGTTTGCAATGAAACTTGCAAAGTCTCAAGTGGTCTTATGGTTTGTTGACTCATTACTAATGGCAAATAATTTATGCAAAAATCAATTAGATATTTTCCCCCAAAATATTAGACATTAAACTCCTCTAGAACTGAGAGCCATTAAGATTTCTCCCATTTGCCAATAACAAATGGTTTTGGTGACAGACGTACTCCAGCACAAAACAACAGTGTTTAACTGAAAAAACTATTGCCGAACTATATTTCTTTTCAATATAAACATGTTACTCAACTGATATACTGTAAGAGTGAATGGCAGCAGAGAATGCACAGAACTTTTCAGGATAATCAGCATATCATAGGGTTGGATTTTGAAAGAGTTACAATAGATAAAGAGATTCTTTACTGAATACTGTATTAAAAAAAAACAAAACAAAAAACAAACAAACAACAAAAAAAAACCCCAACCCTGTTCCCAAAGGAAGGAAAAGGTCTAGGGGAAAAAAAAAAGATATGACAAGATATAATATGGGCCTCAAGAGAAATTTATTGGCAAGCAGAATCTCAAAGACAGGTTATATTTTATATGGACTGGAGTTGATCTAGAATAACAAAGGCACAAAGAAAATGATAAATACTAGAACTGTGGTAATGGTAGTCAAATCTAAGATTGCAAGGTTCAATTGTGTACATATAGTTGGAAGAGCTTTCAAGCAAATTGGAATGTAAGATGACATCAGATCCAAAAACAAGAACAACAAGCACTTTCTGTAATGGATAAAGGGCCTTAACTCCCCGCAACCCCACAGGAAAAAAACACCTGGTAAAAGTTAAGTCATGAAAAAGTTACACTAATATGAGAGAGGGGTCACAGAACTGGGAGCCATGACATCCTGAGTTCTAAACCTGCATCTGGCAGATACTCTCTGTGGCCTTGAGCAAATCACAATCTTTGTGTTCTCATGAATTAATTTATAATCACAACACTATGGAAGATATGTTTGTAAAGAACTAAAGGTGTGATTCTGCCGCCCATGTCCATGTTAATCAGTACCTTACTTCCTCTTCAAGTAATTCCATTGAAATCAGAAATGGGACTGTTTGTACACTAAGTTACCACTCCATATGAGTAAAGATGACAGAATATGTCCTATAGAGATGCTTGTTAGGATGGCAAATTGTGAATTTTTCCAAATGTGCTCATTTAAAATATAAGGGGACATAATCACAATTCTTAGATTTACATAATATAAAATTAATCTTATTGTCGTAGCATATACCAGACATCAATACGTATTCCTACACATCCCTCTCTAGATAAATAGCACCGTGCATAAAGCCATTCATTTATTGAAATGGTGGTGGAATGAGACCTTCCAATTTCCCAGAAAAAAGCACCTTGTCACAGAACTAAAGAAGTCATTCCTCTACTTATGACTGGAAGAAACTCTTATCTTGAGTCAAAGTTCTTCAGTTTACAACATGAAAGACATGGTTAATGCCAGATTAGACACTCTTAAAAATAAATAAATATTTTTTTGAAAAATGTGTCCTTCACTTGCTATAATACTGGAAAAAATTATCTATTAAATACCAAAATCAAAAAAAAAGTCCTCTGGACATTCATACTTTTGAAGTGCGCATTTTTATTTTGGCAAATATTAGTCAGATAGAGACAATGTTTGGTTATGTTCTCCAGTAAAGGTTATGGGGCACAGCTGCACAAATCATATGGGAGCACAAATTAGTACAGTGAATTCTGCTTACAATGGACACGTCCTTGTTCCCAGCTTTTGTCGTTTAAATCTAGATGGTGTGGATGTATGACGAGGGTGTGTCTGTCAGAGAAATGGGGACAGAATAAGTAAGAGACTTTTATGCAATTTAATGATTACTCAGTCTTGACTAGGCATTTTGTTTCTCACTTTGTAGGTCAAATTATGCCCTCTGAAGTCAATGGGAGTTGCACATGCATATCAGGAGAGAATTTGACTGTTTATTGAAATTCATTTTGTTGTCAGGAAACAGGCAGTAAATTTTTTTAAAGGAAGCCAAATGTCAAAGTCAACAGGGAAAACTTAAGTTTGTTGGCTGTATGTTGTGGGTCCTGAAATATGAGACCATAAGAAATGGTTACTGTGGAGCATTTCCCTTACAGAGTAAATTATTTGTCATTCAGAAGATTTGTTTAAATAGCCTACTCAGCATGAGAAGATTTATTTGGTAGAAAATTGAATCTTTGGTAGCTCCATTTTATTTCTGCATGTGCCAGCTCTCCCCACTAGTAATCCCCTTTTCTATGTACTTCTAATGCCCACAGAAGTTCAAAAAGTGTGTAACATGTACTATGTGATATATTGCTAGAAAAATATATGCTATGTAAGATTTAGCACTGGATTCTTTGTTTGCTATAAAACCTGCTTCTATGTAGAATATATATTTGATGATGCTTTCGTAACAATAGGCAGTTAGACTGGTTCTCAGACAATTAGCTCTATTGATGACACAGTGATTGGAACTTGATAGGACAATAATTTACATATCTTCATTTCCTGAAGCTTTCCCACTCTTTGTTCTCTTAGAAGTTCAAAATGTCTAATTTTTAAGAGAAGGCAAAACTTATTTTAATCAACAAAAATGCACAGCTTGTGTAGTAGAGGCTTGAACATAGTGGATTTCAAGCTTTAAAAATATGAACTAGAAAACAGAATTGCACTGACCTTGATTAATGACAAAAAACTGGAAGCAGTTCTTAGTTTCAAGTGCTTTAGTGACCAATTAAATTGCTTTGGTGATTAGGGTTTTTATAAGACATTTGGAAACATTTTGTTTTTGTTTTGATTGAGTTTAGCCTGAGTCAGTTTCTGGACAATTTACAAGGACACCATCAACATGAAAAATCATATTTATGTCTGAAAATTTCATATACCTACTTTAGTTACAAGAAACCCCTAATGTTATTAAAATTGAAGGTTGCTAGCAAAAACACATTTTGCCCCCAGTTTGTTTACTTTGTGCATATGGACAGCACTTTACATAAAATTCACTGTTTTGTTGGTCACTTGCACTTGTCTCTTCATGAAGTAGCATGTTTATATTACTTGGTCTGTGGCAAGCAGATGAGCACCCTGTTCCCCAAAGCATTTATTATTAATAAAAGCAGCAGCACAATTTATGTTTCCGAGTTTGGGGACCGCTGCACAGAGCTGAGAGCAGGAGGCACCCAGGAAGGCTTTCCCTTCTTCATTCTCTATAACCCTACATGAGGATGGGAACAATAGGCACCTGGAAAGTGGGTACTTTCTTTCTTTTCCTGGATCCACCATGGGACCAGGGAGTGACAGAAAGCTGCAGGACCCTGGTATCTGCTTTGCCTTCCTCAGCCCCATACATGTAGCTCAGGGCAATGAGAGTATAGAAGTTGGGAGACCTTATCCTGAATGCTGCTGATTCTGTCACAGCAAGTGGAAGACAGATAGACATGGACACAGAGGTAGGAGGCATGGTGTCACTCTTGGACCTAACCACTTTTAATCGTTGCAAAAGACACTTATAAACATCAGCAGATAAGCAATATATATTAAATTCCACATACTATTTATACTTGATTTTTTTAAACTAATCAATTCAAAATATTCAAGTTGACAATGTCCCTTTAAGGCTTTACTGAGAGCAAAACACCCTGCATTGGTGATACTGTCCTGAATGGGTGTCACCCGTTGACAAGTGGACACAAATGCCAAAGTCAACATTACACATTAATACCAAATTGCCATCTTTCCAAGGGTCACAAACTCCAACAAGCTTAATAGCTATATACGGCATCTGAGTAAGAGTGAATACTTAGTATTGTAGCCAATGAGGTTAATCCGAGGCGCGATTATTGCTAGGTGAAAATCTCTTCTGATGTTAAGGCATGAAACTGGAGGAACAGGTTCTTTTAAACAATGTCACTTAGCTAGAGAAGAAATTCAGAGGGCAGTCTAGCCTGAAGCAATTCTCTTTCAAAAGAAGAGTCATGGAAACCAGAAGATTCTTCACTAAAACTCCACAATGAATTTTGATGGTGGTTGGGTGGAAGAGAGTGCTCCCCAGTTAGAATATATTCGGAGCATACGACTTTGTACAGGGAGACAGTCTTCTCTCCACTGTGGTCTTTATAGAAGAGTTGTCAAATGATTTTCTGTCCCCAGAAGGGTCTATGCAGCATCTTGCCCTTTTCAGTGGATAGGCTGGCCTTTGTGCATCCCAGAAAACTGTAGACATTTTCCTGAATAGACCCCTAAGAGTTTATTTTCTGAAATGGTTGTTTATGGATTAAAAATTATTCACCTCAGTATTTTCCAATGAAAGTGAAGAAAGAGGAGGTTACTCACCCTGTGCAGTAACTGACGTTCTTCGAGATGAGTGTCCCT